CTTTATATGAAGAATTAAACTGAGAAGTGAGTTATCTATCAGGAATTAAACTGAGCAGAGCGTTATCTAATATCTATCAGGAATTAAACTGAGAATTGAGTTATCTAATATCTATCATGAATTAAACTGAGCAGAACGTTATCTAATATCCATCAGGAATTAAACTGAGAAGTGAGTTATCTAATATCTATCATGAATTAAACTGAGCAGAACGTTTCTAATATCTATCATGAATTAAACTGAGCAGAACGTTTCTAATATCCATCAGGAATTAAACTGAGAAGTGAGTTATCTAATTCTATCAATGAATTAAACTGAGCAGAACGTTTCTAATATCCATCAGGAATTAAACTGAGAAGTGAGTTATCTAATATCTATCATGAATTAAACTGAGCAGAACGTTATCTAATATCCATCAGGAATTAAACTGAGAAGTGAGTTATCTAATATCTATCATGAATTAAACTGAGCAGAACGTTATCTAATATCTATCAGGAATCCAATTGTCTGAATCCCCCATACCATTCCTCTACCCTGTCTGGGCCAAACTAAACAACTGCTAGCAATGATTCTGTGTGTGATAGGGCTGTCCCCAACAACAACAAAATATTGGTAGACCGAGAGTCGTCCTGTTCTTTCGACCAATCGATTGGTCAAAATGTTTCCACGTATTTGTCCATATATAGACAGACGCACCCTGTGTGTTTGAATAAAATCTACTACACATGCACTGAGCTTGTCTGACGTTTTAAGCACGCGGTTTGATTAAATAATTAAGAAACACAAAATGACTCAAGAAAGAGCCCCGATCGTCACGCTGTGTTAAAAAAAAAAGACTGGCGCACGTTGTCTCGCTCTCCTCCCTACTGCAGAGAAAAGGCACCACATCACAGCAAGTGATTACTGCGCTGTCTGTGCTGAAGCTGCCACATGCTTCCGAATGAAAGGTTCTGTTACCGAAATCCCTAATTGGTTTAGGAAAAACATTCCATATTCCCCTCAACCTTTGCTCTCTTAACGTGAAACGTAAGCATCGCGTGCACGTGACCAATAGGGCCTGGTCTATCATAATCACATCAATACACTGGTTATAACAAAACTTCGAACGCGGTAACACGTGACAGAAAAATGGATGCGGAGGGACGGGAAAATAGAAACTCGAAACGGGCGAATGTTTACCGGTTGCTCAGGAGGGAAAGGGGGAAGTCAGATCCGTGGAAGACATTTGACTTAGTTGTGGAAACTACTAGAGATCAAGTAAAAGGAGGGTATAGGAGTAAGCTTTGCGTGAATATTATGTTGTAAAGGAGTTGCTGTTAGATTACAATATCATATTTTTTTCTGACCATTTGGAAATAGTGTTAACACAAAATAAATAAATGTTTATATTCTAACGAGAAAAATATATAAAGCCTTTATTACAGCAGATTAAAAACAGTTGCATGCATTCATGAATTACAGTTTATTTATTGTTTAGGCTAATTATTGAAAAGCTCCCTTTGTTATTTAATTTTAAAACTAAAATGCTTGATTGCATTTGAAAGCATGAATGTCTCGTATGCTGTGTGATGGCACGAACAAATGAATGATTGATACAGTAGCCTGTACAGCTGCAAATTAAGAGACCACTGCAAAATTATCAGTTTCTCTGGTTTTACTATTTATAGGTATGCGTTTTGGGTAAAAATAACATTTTTGTTTTATTCTATAAACTACTGACAACATTTCTCCCAAATTCCAAATAAATATATTGTCATTTAGAGCATTTATTTGCAGAAAATGACAACTGGTCAAAATAACAAAAAAGATGCAGTGTTGTCAGTCCTCGAATAATGCAAAGAAAATAAGTTCATGTTCATTTTTAAACAACACAATAGTAATGTTTTAACTTAGGAAGAGTTCAGAAATCAATATTTGGTGGAATAACCCTGATTTTCAATCACAGCTTTCATGCGTCTTGGCATGCTCTCCACCAGTCTTTCACATTGATGTTGGGTGACTTTATGCCACTCCTGGCGCAAAAATTTCAAGCAGCTCAGCTTTGTTTGATGGCTTGTGACCATCCATCTTCCTCTTGATCACATTCCAGAAATGTTCAATGGGGTTCAGGTCTGGAGATTGGGCTGGCCATGACAGGGTCTTGATCTGGTGGTACTCCATCCACACCTTGATTGACCTGGCTGTGTGGCATGGCGCATTGTCCTGCTGGAAAAACCAATCCTCAGAGTTGGGGAACAATGTCAGAGCAAAAAGAAGCACGTTTTCTTCCAGGACAACCTTGTACGTGGCTTGATTAATGCGTCCTTCACAAAGACAAATCTGCCCGATTCCAGCCATGCTGAAGCACCCCCAGATCATCACTGATCCTCCACCAAATTTCACAGTGGGTGCGAGACACTGTGGCTTGTAGGCCTCTCCAGGTCTCTGTCTAACCATTAGACGACCAGGTGTTGGGCAAAGCTGAAAATTGGACTCATCAGAGAAGATGACCTTTCTCCAGTCCTCTACGGTCCAATCCTTATGGTCTTTTGAAAACATCAGCCTGCCTCTTCTTTGCTTCTCATTGATGAAGGGCTTTTTTCTAGCTTTGCAAGACTTCAGCCCTGCCCCTAGGAGCCTGTTTCGAACCGTCCTCGCCATGCACTTCACCCCAGCTGCCGTTTGCCATTCTTTTTGTAGGTCACTTGATGTCATCCTACGGTTGTTGAGTGACATTCGAATGAGTTGGAGGTCATCCCGGTCAGTAGAGAGTCATTTTCACCCTCTGCCGGTCTGTAGCTTTGTTGTCCCCAATGTCTGCTGCTTGAACTTGTTCTTATGAACCGCCGTCTTTGAAATTTTAAGGATGGAAGCAACCTGACGCTCACTGTATCCCTCTGCCAGTAAAGCCAGAATTGAACCCTTCTTTTCATCACTCAAAACTTTCCTTTTCAACTCATTTGGCATGGTCAATAGTAATTATTTGATTAATATTACTTTTGAGGTACTATTAGCACTGTTTTTGCCATCCAGCTGGTCCTATTGCAAGAGGATCGTGATGACCACAGCAGTGGATTTTATACTTTTCCTCGTTAAATAAGATTAGGTTCAGGTGATCACCTAATCAGTACCTAATTCAGTAGAATGAGGTGTGCCTGTGTTGGAATTCAACAGACACTGGAATGGAATGGCTGTCATACACGTAGAGATGCTGATTTAAGAAAACTTTGCAGTGGACTCTTAATTTCTTCCACAGCTGTATATTGAAATATACCATAGGCCTAAGTAAGTTACGGTATTAAGACTAAACAGGACGCGCTCCTAGGCCTACAGCTCGATGGCGGTTATACAGGGCTACTCCTATACAAAGCCTACTAATGATAACGACATTACTTATCAATGTAATGACGATCATATGAATAATATTAATCATAACAATAACAAGGAGATCTAGATAAAAAGGAGGGTATAGGTAAAGCCATTATTACAGCGTAGCATAGTCCTCTGTAGCTCAGCTGGTAGAGCACGGCGCTTGTAACGCCAAGGTAGTGGGTTCGAACCCCGGGACCACCCATACACAAAAAAATGTATGCACGCATGACTGTAAGTCGCTTTGGATAAAAGCGTCTGCTAAATGGCATATTATTATTATTATTAAAAACAGAATTTGTCATTTGGTGCTCACGGAATCAGTAGGCTATTAAACAAACACTCAAACAGGAAACAGGAAGCAGGATCTGTCTTTTTTCTGTAGATATACTGTATATGGATGGTTTATTAAGCCAGGCACATTTAACAGTTAGGCTATTGATTATAGACCTAATTAAGTTTCCTCTCTCCTCAATTTTCTTAGACAATTAGGGCTGTTTCCTCGTCTCTCCTGTGGCCACATTGTTCTCAATCCCAATACGCTGGTTCACTTTGCTATTTTGTTAGTCCCCACAAGGTCAAATGCTATTTTTAGGGGGTTTAGGGTTAAGGTTAGAATTAGCTTAAGGGTTAGGAGCTAGGGTTAGGTTTTGGGCTTAAGGTTAGGTTTTGGGAAAAAATGATTTTGAACGGGACTAAATTGTGTCCCCCCACAAGGTAAGTTATACAAGACTGTGTGTGTGTCTGTGTCTGTTCTTCACATTGTGGATGCATACACCACCTCACCAGGAAGATGACTTCATTCACAAAATAACATCCGGCTTAACTACAGGTAAAGTAAAAGAACCAGATCTTTTGTGATGCAGAATAACTTGTAATTGGTGGCTAGGATTACATCCTTTCCAGGGAAGGAGAATGAGAAAACAACACAACTAGAAGCCGGTGATTCTGAAGGAGTCACGTCCAAGGAAATACCGACTTCTCACATGAGCGGAATCAAGGAGGAATACTTTGGATAACAGACATGGAATTAGGACAACTATAGTAATAATAATAATAATAATAATAATAATAATAATAATATGCCATTTAGCAGACGCTTTCATCCAAAGCGACTTACAGTCATGTGTGCATACATTTGTACGTATGGGTGGTCCCGGGGATTGAACCCACTACCCTGGCGTTACAAGCGCCATGCTCTACCAATTGAGCTACAGAGGACCACATTATAAGTGAAATAATCTGTCTGTACACAATTGTTGGAAAAATAACTTGTGTCATGCACAAAGTAGATGTCCTAACCGACTTGCCAAAACTATAGTTTGTTAACAAGACATTTGTGGAGTGGTTGAAAAACTAGTTTTAATGACTCCAACCTAAGTGTATGTAAACATCCGACTTCAACTGTATGTCTTTAACATCACTTACATGACATTATCATTGATTTGAACATTTCATTTGATTTAAAAAAGCATTTAACGCTAAGCTTTTAAGTTGCATGTTAGGAAAGGGAAAGGTGGATACCTGGTCAGTTGTACAACTGAATGCATTCAACTGAAATGTGTCTTCCGCATTTAACCCAACCCCTCTGAATCAGAGAGGAGCCTTAATCCACATCATCGGCGCCCGGGGCAACAGTGGGTTAACTGTCT